CGCCTCCATATAACGCGGCGGCGGCCGTGCGGAGCTCACACCGGCCTTTCCTGCAAGAGGAGAGGAGCTGAACAGCCGGGCAGACATCGCCTTCCTCCTCCTCATCCTCCTTCCTCTCTGGAGCAAGCTGCCCCTTCGCCGGCTTCAATGAAACTGGCAGCGATGATCAAGAAGATGTGTCCCAGCGAGGCCGAGCTGAGCATCCCCGCCAAGAACTGCTACCGCATGGTCATCCTGGGCTCCTCCAAGGTGGGCAAGACGGCCATCGTCTCACGCTTCCTCACCGGCCGCTTCGAGGAGCAATACACGCCCACCATCGAGGACTTCCACCGCAAGTTCTACAGCATCCGCGGCGAGGTCTACCAGCTCGACATCCTAGACACGTCGGGCAACCACCCCTTCCCAGCCATGCGTCGCCTCTCCATCCTCACAGGTACTTGGCTGGGGAGTGCCGGGAGGCAGGGGGGTCCCTTACCAGATTTCAAGTGTTCTTGCCCAGTTTGGGGTTGTTTTTCCAGTCCTGGGAGGAGGGAGGGTGAGATTTTGTGTGTGCATGGGGTAAGCAACTTTGCTCCCTGCACAGGGTGGACGGGAGGATGCAGAACCCAGGTGCTGCCTAGTCCTTCCCTCCCCAAGTCTCTGCATGGCTTAGGCAGCGGGTCTCTCTGTGTCCCCATCCCTGCAACCATCTCACGTTCCCTTTTGGTCCCCAGGAGACGTGTTCATCCTCGTCTTCAGCCTGGACAACCGGGACTCCTTTGAGGAGGTGCAGCGCCTGAAGCAGCAAATCCTAGAGACCAAGTCGTGCCTGAAGAACAAAACTAAGGAGAACATAGAGGTGCCCCTGGTCATCTGCGGCAACAAGGGCGACCGGGACTTTTACCGGGAGGTGCAGCCCCGGGAGATCGAGCAGCTGGTGGGAGGGGACCCCAAAAAATGCGCCTACTTCGAGATCTCAGCCAAGAAGAACAGCAGCCTGGACCAGATGTTCCAGGCGCTCTTCGCCATGGCCAAGCTGCCCAGTGAGATGAGCCCCGACCTGCACCGCAAGGTCTCGGTCCAATACTGCGACATCCTGCACAAGAAGGCACTGAAAGGCAAAAAGCTGCTGAAAGAGGGGGGCCGGGGCAGCACGGAGGAGGCGTACGGCATCGTGGCCCCCTTTGCCCGGCGACCCAGCGTCCACAGCGACCTCATGTACATCCGGGAGAAAGCCATTGGTGGCGGGCACAGCAAGGAGAAGGACCGCTGCGTGATCAGCTAGGAGCCCCCGCTCGCCCCACGACAGGAAGAAAGGAAGGAAGGGAGGGGGGAAAGATGCTTGTTTCCGAATTGACTTTGGGCAGGCAGGAGGGGTGGGCAGGCACCCACCCGGGGCAGAGAGCGGATCGCCTCTTCCCCAGCCTCCCTCCTCCTGAGGGATCGCTTTCATCAGCTCCCTCCCCCGGGGGTGCAGTTTGGGAGCGAGGGATGCGAAGGGAGAGGCTGTGGAGGGCAGGAGGGGGGTGTGCTGGGACCAGCCCCCTCTGGGCAGGGAGACAGGGAAAGGGTGAGCTGCCAGGTGGGAGGACGAGCGAGGAGGGCACAGACCTTGGGTTTTCTTTCCCTCCCAAACCACCCAGCCTCAGGCACTGCCTTCAGGAGGGAGGGCAGGGGCCTGCCAGTGCCTGCCTGGGGCTTTGGGGTTGGTTTTTTTTGTTGTTTTGTTTGGGGTTTTTTAAGTTGAGAAGCTGTGCACGGACTCTGGCTCTGTGTCGTGTGTTCATCTCTGTCTGCAAAACATGTGCAGAAGACACTCCTAAGCTGTTGCAAAGACATTGCAGAGTTACAGCCCCGATGGACCAAAAAACTGACTCTTGTTTACATTTGTCTTGTCTGATTTGCAAGATTTGGGGAGGGTGGGGGGAGTGGGAAGGGTTTTTTAAATAAGAAAATAATAGGCACTTTATGTAGGTATTGTTTGTCATTGACATGAACAAAAAAATCTTCAAGTGTTTCTACTGTGGGTGAAACTTGATGTTTTATTTTTTCTACAAATTAATAAAATCTTTTTAAAACGACACCTGTGGGTTTGCTTTAGCTTCCTCGCCTAGCCCCGTAGCAAAACCAAATCCTGTTAAACCAAGACCTAAGTCCAGCTCCGAGGTGCTAAAAACGGCCTCTCAACTCAATCCCTTTATTACCCCATTTTCTCTGACTCCCAGTGCAAAGGTTTCTGTCTCTGCAAGCAGCTGCTTTCTTGCTTCACGGGGTAACGAGGGGCCACGCAGAGTTAGTTACTCAAACGGGTCACCGAGCCAGGGCTCTTTCCTCACTTCACTAACGCCGAGTGACGATCCTGCCAGCCCCATGACATGCCAGGCATTGGCATGTCATTCACTGCAGAAACCGAGCAAACTGACATCACTTACTTCATTATAAAGAGCTGATTGTGTTCCATGCTTTTTCCTGATTAACTAAGCACACTTTAATGATGTCAACAGAGAGTGATTCATTTGCGCCCCGTCTGGGATATTGTTTTTATTTTGCAATATGAGTAAAGGAAGTACTTTGCTCGAAAGGTCACCTTTGCATCTGATGGTTTTTAATCTCTCGCTAATAACAAGTTGCAGTAATGGTTGCTAGAAGTGAAAGGGGAAAGCTCTTCGAAGAACAGCTCTGCCTGGGTCCAGCTTCTGTTTCAGTTCATTTTCAGCCCCCGTTCCCTCCCCAAGCAGCAGAACAAACCTATATTTAATACATATTAACAGAAAAAAAAATAATCTATTAAAACCACAAAACTAGGGTGGGCGAGTGAGACTGCAAACCAAACAGCTTCAGTTTCGTTTGAAACTTGGATTCAAGCTGACAGTTAACTTGTTCCTGCGCTAAATGCCAGACATTTATTTGGAAACACGTTGTTTCTTCCAGCTCTGCATATGCCCTGATTTCACAGGAACCGCAACTAGAAAAAAAAAGGGAAACCACTGTCCGGGCATGAGACACAAGAATTTATTGAACTGGGACAGGCAATGGCTGGCAGAAAGGTAATTTCAGTAATAAAGAGTGTACATTGTGCTTTGTTTATCTTGGTGTTCTGCTTTACTCAGTGTTTACACACTGGCACCTTCCCAAAGAAAGTACCAGTAAAGTATTCCAGCGGGGATAGAGTAATCTCTAGGCTACAGGTGAGTTGCAACCATCCCAGCTCCCAGTGAGCAGAATTACTTGCCTCTTGGTTTAGGAAAGGAAAATCCTACCCAGACAGAGCTTGCTTCTCTTCTTTTGAAGGCACAAGTGCTACCTGCCCTTGGATGCTGGTTCTCAATGGATGTTGTATTCCACTAGCTGGTTTTTCACCTCTTCCACTACTGACCTGCACCATCTTTCAGCATAATTCAGAGAACCGTGAGATTGAAGGTCGCGTCACATGCTTGTTAGTTGGGGAGTTGTGGTGCTGCTTACCAGGCTGTCATCAGGCACCGTAACAGCTACCAGCAGGACAGAGCGCAGCGAGCCCCGGGATCCATCTGAATGCCACACAACATTCAAGAGCTTTTCATCAGCCGCTGGGAAATGTTCAGGCTGCTCAAATGTCTGTGCTTGTGGGAAGCCTCCGGAGCACTTCAGATGTGGAACTGACCCACCCCGTTGAGCCTGACTTCTGTCATGTATGCGATAACTAAAAGCTCTTGTCATTTATGCCCTTTGTTTTGATTCTGTTTTAAGAGCAAGATGCCCAACGTACTGCCTACAAGCCGCACTTGCCCAAGGAGATTCATGCACCCAAAGCCCACCGAAATCCGCTCCCCTGGCAGTCTCTGCTTTGCCCTCCCTGCTTCCAAAAAGGTGATGTAAAGACAGAGGAGCTGGGCCCAGGCTACGCAGATCCTCTGTGCAGCCCAAGTCCTGCCCCTGCTCAGCCCGCATCCACTCAGCGAATACACACGAGGGGAGTTTGGAATTTCTAAATCTTTACTTCACTCATCTCAGACACAAACATCATTTGTTTAAAAAGAGAGAAAGAGAAATACAGAAGTAATTGAAAGCAATCACTCCTCTTCTGACACACAGAGACTGGAAAGTGCCCCAGAGACCCTTTCCAGGAGCAGGGCCAAACAGCTCACGCTTCCCTCTTATGCTCCCTTCTGACGTTTGACCGCTTTTAAGTGAAAAAAAAATTGCAGAAAATGCCCCCTTTTTCTTGTTTAAGTTAACCAGCTGGTACTTTGACCCTTAGTGAGGAGAAAACATAATGTCTCCTGCTTGCTTGAATGTAAAAAAAAAAAGAAACAACCACCCCACCCCAAGAGAAAACAGAAGAGATGCATATATAAATGCACAGTCCTACAGCAGATCAAAGTGAATGTACCGCTGTAATCATCATATGTGAAGCACACAGTGTTCTGGTTCAGTGTCACACGCCTGTGATCCACACAGACACAACTTCAGAGCAACGTCACCAAAAAAGCATAAAAGAAAGAAAAGTAAACTTCTGCCACCTTTTTCTCACCCAGGAGAGGAGGTATCTCAGACCTGGAGAGCAGAGCTGTGCCCTTCCTACTCCTTGGGGATTTCAAACATGCAAAGGCTCTTGTACTTCTGCAGCAGTTCATTTTTGGTCCGTACCTGCTCCCGCAGGTTCTGCAGCTGCTGCTGCTGCTGCTCTGGGCTCACACCAATGCCGGGCATGGAGCTGATCAGCTTCCTCATCTCCTGGAACTTGTTCTTGAGCTCATTCAGCACCTGATGAACATCCTGGCTGTCCTTGTCCATGCTGCAGAGGAGAGAAAATGGAGCCACTGTTCAATTCTCCTATTGGAAAGTGAAAAACCTGCTGGAGCGACTGTCATTTCCAGTGCAACCAGAGCTTAAACTGGAATTCAGTGGGAAACTTTTGTTCTTGGTATCTAGCCACGCACACCTAATTCACCTATCCCAATAAAATGGACACAGACAGATATACAGACTGGGCAGCCCCTGGGGCAAACTGGTTTCCTGCTAATTTCCAGCACACATTCCAGTTACCTCAGGACCCATCAATCAGGTTAGGAGCTGGTCTGCAGCTTTAAAACTTTACCATGGAGCAGGCTAAAATCTCCCTCTGTTTGAACTCCTGTATCTCTCTTTGGGGAAGGTAAGATTAAGATTACATACGTGTGTTGTGTGTAGGCACCTGGAATAAAAGATCTCAGTCTCACCCGTGACCTGTTGCTGCCGTAATACAGAAAATCAATGCAGTCAAAATAGAAACTGTTCCCCAAAGTATCACAGAGTATCCAATGGCAGACAAAACGGTACTTTGGAGCTTTAAAATGACTCTCTGGGGATATATACCTAATAAAAGAGAAGTGACAGCTTTTTTTTTTTTTATTTTTAAGAGCAGCACAATTGGTTCTGCAGCCAGCTCCGTGCTTGCCAAGGATCAGTGTTGTTTGAGGCAGTGTCTGCTCTCAAACCCTCATTAGTATCTGCCTCAGCTTTGTTAGCACCAGCGAGAAGTTTTACCAATTCCAGGCAAAAGCGAGTCCCCACTTCCAGGGCGCCTGTTAATAACGAGAGCGGGACTCTAATGGTCTTTGAAAACTGGGAGCCCGTTCAATAGCCAGGCCTAAAAATAAATCTGCTTGGCATGACCAGGGCAGAGAGGTGCTTGATTGTAACTTTGGGGAATCGTGACATGGCTGAGAGCAAAACTTTTAACCAGATGGTCGCAGTTTGTTTCAAAAGCCTGTTTGAACGAAATATTCATTACTCCCTTCTAAATAAAACTGCAGCTGGTACTATAATGTGTCCCCATTATGCAAGCATTCACAGTCAGGTCGGCAGTGGAAAAATACAGGCGCACACACAACCCCACGGCACATCTGGGGAAGGATGGGTTGACACTGCCTTTAATCTGTGATAGCTGCAGGCTGCCTTTGAGAGGGACGTTCTCCTAGCTCCAGGTCTCCCCAAGTCTTGGTCCCTCCCCTACACATAGAGAACTGATGGCTGCCTGTCTGGTTGGTTGATCCAAAGGAATAATTATTTCAGGTTTGGGTTGGTTTTTTTTCTACTGATGGGTGGTTTTCCTGCTGGATCAAGCCACTGAAGCGAGTCTCTCCTTGAGGGCATGGACAGGCAGTGGTGAGGAGGTGTGGGCAGAGACTGCAGCTGCCTGCAGTAACCCAGGATCCAATGCAATGTCCAACCACAGCCTGCGCTGACAGATCGCACATAAGACCTCCCTTAAGGCACAATGTTCTTCATTACACCAGCACAACCCACCGTCAGTGAAGCCAC